AACAGATTCATCCTGGAGAGGGTTAAACCAGGCTACTCCTTGGAGGCAAGGATTCTGGGGCTTCGTCTGACATACTTTGGACATGTTGTAAGGAGAGCCAGGTCCTTGGAGAGGGACATCATGCTTGGTAGGTTGGAGGGACAGTGCAGGAGGGGAAGACTTTCTATGAGCTGGATTGATTCAGTGACTGGGTAATCGGGATGGGTATGTCAGAGGCAATGTGATTGGCACAGGATAGAGCAGGGTTTAGGGCTGTTGTACATAGGGTCAGTATGAATCACAAGTGACTCGACGGCACATAACAACAACAACATACCCAATCTATCGCCAAATCCAGCTAGTTTTGTCTTCAAAATATATCTGAATTTACTAGAGGAGACCACATGTACTGCTCCCACCCCAAGCCCTAGCATTTGCTTCTGCTCCTGCTCTTGTATCCCTACACTCTCATTGACCCTTCTAAACTTAAGTCAAGCCATGTCTTGCCCTTACCAAAATCCAGGATCACGTCAAATCCTCATCTCACCCCACCCCATGCCCTGAGTGGCCTACTGCCTGATCTTCTCTGCATTTTCTCTACTCTGACTTCCTTATCCACAGGACTCCTCACAAACAATCATTACAGGACTATTGTTCTTGTTCTCTCTGTCTGGAATGTCTTCCATAGTTATTTTTAAAACTTGTCTCCCAGGTGGCTGCACACATCAATTTCTCTGAAAGGATTTTCAGACCATTCCTCTGGAAAGAGCAACCTTACTACTCTCCATCCCTTTCCATTGCCTCATTTTCTTTACACTACAAGTACATTATTTGGTACAATTTTTGATTGCCTTCTTTGTTTCCTTCATTATCTATCTTCTCACTGGGGGTGAACTTCAAGAAAGCACAGATTCTATCTGTCCTGATTCCATGGTGGAACTGTATGCAGCCCTTAGCAGGCCATCAGCCATCTGACAAATGGGTGAGTGTCAGAATAATCAATGTAGTGTGCTGGGAGGAATATTCTGTTTTCTAAATCAATGAACTTCCAATCCTAAAACAGGAATCAATATTTAAATGGTCCAGGGTCTTTCTCATTACCAGATCTCACCCAAAAATGCCCCATAATTCCAAGAAAAGAGCCTCGATTTTGGCATTAATGTGATTCTACGGGACAAGCAATATGCCTTTTCCTGACAACAGATAGAGAAGTAACTGAGAACATGCCATGGGTAGTCCTATTACTTGGTTATGTGTTTGTTTGTTTTTTTTACTTTAACACTTAACTCTTGAAGCCGTATCTTTATATTACTACTTGTAGTAAAGCTTCCCTTTCTTCTTAGTTCAGGTACTGTGGCCTCCTCTGGCACTTTGCATTTGAGTTTCACCTTATTTATGCCTGGGCTCCTGGACCCCCTGAGCACCCTTGCGACAGCAACTGGCTTCTCCTCACTAGCACAGCTTGTGTGACCTTGACCAAATAAGACTATCTTGTCACTGTGCCATACTTGCTTTACTGCCTCTTTTGGGACCTCCTAAAACTGTGCTCCAGAACTTCTTTCTAACTCCCTGCTCTGAAGTCTGCCTTCATCTCATACCAGATGGAGAATATGCTCACATGAACTGAAATCTCATAGTCATTAGTAGAAAGTTCTTTTCTCAGATGATTTGCAGAACCACATCCATTCTGTGCAATGTAGCGGATCTTGTCTGATTTATGCATCATCATGGTCCCTATCCTATCACTGCTTGGAACTACAGCTTAAAATTTGTTATTCTGGTTTAAATTATGAGCTTGTGTTTCTTCACTAACTAGATAGGAAAATCCTCAAGAACAAAGTCTACATTTCTTTTCACGTCTTCGTCCCACAAAACCCTCAATTCATGTTTGTCAGTTGGTTTTTACTAACTTATCAGTTGTGCATTTAGAACAAAGAACATTTCCTGTAAGAAACACCTGCAGAGAAAAGACCAAATAAAGCCAAGTTCCCAGCCTACCCAAGATGTTCTTCACCACTCTTGGGGTTTGTACTAACCATTTTTCCAATCATCATCACATAGGGCCCCAGGTACTTGTTGACACCGAATATGTCCAGGACACGGATGTACCAGAAGATGATGTCCACACAGTAGATGACGCGACCATAGCCCATATATGGTTGATTCTGTAGGCGAAGAATTGCTCCAATTATGAACACGGAGATGGCCACAAGGTCAGTGATGTTCCAGTACTCCTGAAGCCAAACTTTTATCTTCTGACTGAGTTTGCCCGGTTCTGACATGAGAATCTGAAACACAAAACCAAAACTCAAAGAACACATAAACAAAGAGTTTTATGTGGCATACTTGACTTCTTAAACTTATGGATAGGTAGGACTCGTGGAACATTCCAGGGCACTGGTTCCATTTCTTGTGTAAAACTGCTTGACACCCATCTTCTTAGACAGAGAACAAAAGTTAGATTCTTTGGAATCCTTGATATTCCTAGGTTTAAGGTTTCCAAAACACGATTATCAGGAAATGCCTCCTGAATTATATCCTTCTGGCTGTACTTAAAGTAACTTTCTTTGATTATCTGCTAGCTGATGTTCCACATTTAGCACAAGAGAAAGACTCCAGCAGAGACATGAACATTGCATGGTCCCACAGGGCAGTCCACTTTATGAGGATGAAAGATATGAGAGGTAAGAAGTCGTTAAGCCTGGCTTTCCATTCTTGAGACACTGTTGTTTCTTTTGTTGTTGTATACCATCGAGATGGAACAACCCATAGCTGACTCTCCAGTGGCTTTTCAGAGGCAATTATTTGCACAGGAGAAGATTGCCCATCTTTCTTCTGCGGAGCAGCTCGTGGCCTCAAATCGTGTGCCTTTGGGATTGCAGCACAACTTCTTGTTACCAGAGGACATTTCCTCAGATTAAAATTTGAAACATTTAAGAAGTAGCATGATGGAGGTGTCTGGCCTCTAGCTTCACGAGGTCGAAGAATCAGCATCCGTGTCATCATTTCCAGCCTTCTTTCTATAAAGTAGATGTCAGATATGCCTCCTCTTTCCAACCTTTCCCCCCAATTCTGACACCAACCATTCTTCACAGTCATTCTCTCCTATGCGGGGTCTGATAGTTGTTTGCAGTGGCCACACAAAACTCAAAGGCAGTATTTGCAATGAAGGGCTTTAGTAGAGATATTTTAGGTTACAGTTCAGGGCCAGAGGTAACTAAAGATACCATTCTTTGGTGAACTGTGCATGTAGGCAGGCATCTCTGTGGTCTTTAGTCCATCAGCCTTCTAGCCCTCTTGGGCCAGACTTATTTTTGACCTCCTCATGCAAGTGTAACAGAACTTTTTAGCTCCACCAGTAAGTGCCTGGAGGTACCCTACTCCTCTAATGGGCATCATTTTAAGGGGTCAGCCCTCTTGCTCCATGGGTCTTTCACCAAATGCCCGGAGACACTCCATTCTGAGAACAAGCTTCATGCCCAAAGGCACTCAGCTCTATAACTCCATGGACTGGGAAATCCACTGTACCATATCATGCTTGTATATATTCGTTTCTTTTTTGGAGCCCTGTGGGTTAGAGGGTTGCACAGCCAACCCAAAGTGTTTAGAATTCATCAATATCTCTATGGGAGAAAAATGGACAGATCTTCCCATAGGACTTACAACCTCTGAAAATTTGCTGGACGGTCAGCTATGAGGTAGTTCCAACTTCATGACAATGAATTTGAGGGGGTTGGTGTTTTTTTTTAAGTTTTACATGTGTGTATGTTTTATTTTTCAATCTCTTCTTTCCTATCTATTCTTTACTCTTTTGTAAAGTAAAAGGGATGAATAAAGGTGGGAAGGGTGATAAGACTGGGATAAGTGTAGTGACTTGAATCACATCTTCTAGTAAAACTGATTCATTAAGATGACAGCTCACTCCCAAATAGGACCACAACTACAGATCTCAAAGCTCAAAAACTCATTGCCTTTGATTTTGCACAAATTCATAGCTGACCCTCCAGTGGTTTTTTCAGAAGCTGTAAGTGATAGATCGTCTGTCTGTCTTCCGAGGAGCAGGTAGTGGAATAGAACCACCTGAGAGGAGCTGCTTTTGTGTTAGCAATTCAGCTCTCTACTGACATACCACTGGAGCTCCAGAGTTTGGAGGGTAGAATTTAAATATATTACCAAATGAAGGATAATTGTATCAGATAACAAAATGGTGTGTGATCACATAATACTGGAGATCATAGCCTAATCAAGCTAACAAACAGCCCCAAATATCAAAGGTTCCATACAGCTAATTTGCCCTGAGTGGATGTCACAAAAACCATAGCTGAAGAGGGCCCTGGTAAGTAATACACTGTGCCACAGGCATATACAGTGAACTCAGCTTAGTGCTGGGATGGTACTAGGGGCCTCAGTGTCAGGAATATTCCAAGAGGTAGGCCCAAGGGACATAGGTGGGGTGAATTGTAGTTATTTGCCAACCTAGAAGGATTCATTATTTTGATAGTCAGTGCACACTGGCTGAGGGCTACCTTTCCTGTAACTCTTTCCCATAAATGGAACTGAGTTCATGACATAAAGAACAGTGACTATTCTTTATTGCTAATTTTCAGCAAAGATCATGAAGCAATAAGCTACATGGGCAGCCATTTGGGAAATCCTAACTAATATTATGAAGGTTTGAATAAAACCCAGTTAGAGAAGAAAAAGCAGTAGAAGAGAAGTAAACATTGTGGATTATGTTAGAAAGAAAAGCCCCTAATCAAATTTCCTTTGCCACTTGCACAGATTATCTCTCTAAATTACACTTTAATTTTAAATCCTCTGTAACGTAAGGATCGTGTATTAGATGATGTCTGCTCCATCTTAGTACTGAGAGTACTGAGTTGAAAATATTGCTTGCCCTGATTGCAATAGATGGTTTGATGCCTTGTCCACATCCCGAGGTGTGTTTCCTTGTACCTAATTGCTGCAATGCTGCAGTTAGGTTCAACCTGCCACCTTCTCAGAGGCTTATTCTTAGGTAATTGGAGCTGTCAATGCTAATGACTGATGGGGATAGCTCAATATACTCAGAGCCACCTGCAGGATTATGTGGGAGTGAGATTCCACATGAGATAATCCCTGTTTCCTCTTCTACTTCCCTCATGTGACTCTCCTGAGAGCCCAGCTCATTAAGGCACTCTTGCAAGATTCCATACTCCAGGTTGAGAGATCCTAACCTAGGACATGTGGTTCAAAGTCCCAAATCTCAAGGACCATTTTATCTCTTGCATCTCTGTGCTTCTAGTTTTAGCTTCCAGAATTTGACCTTAAATTTGAAAACTGCCAGGAGGGACCAGACCTGGGAGAAGGACATCATGCTTACAAGGTGGAGGAACATCCCAAGGAAAGATCTTGAGTGAGATGGATTGACACAGTAACTGAGATAATGGGGCTAGGTGTATCAGAGACAATGAAACTTGTTCAGGATAGGGCAGAGTTCAGAGCTATTGTGAATAGGGTTGCTACAAGTCATAGACGTCTTGATGGTACTTAACAACAACAAAACAACAACAGTAGTTAGTACATAACAGGTCCCTGATAATGTTTATCTAGGCTCTGATCCATTTTTTTCTTAATCATCATTTATTTTTAATATCTTGAATATTGATTGACTATGTTTTTTTCCAAGTTCAGCTGGACACAGAGATATGTGAATTTTAAACAAGTGAATGGAATAAACTTGAAATTTTGACATCACTAAAGACAAGTCTCATAGTACCTAAATGCTTATGCGATATTTTTGCAATAAGAAGTCATGTTTGGGAGTTCTGGTGGCCTAGTGGCAAAAAGCTGCACTGCAATCCCAGAGGTATGCGGTTTAAATCCACCAGATGCTCTGTTGGAGAAGGAGGGGCAATCTCCTCCTGTACCAGTCAGATCCGATTTGACAGTACACACACACAAAAATAATAATAAAAATAAATTAAAAAGAAGCCATGTTTAACTTGAGATCTGTGCATAGTGTGGCTTTTTTGGTGTCCTTACCTCTCGAATTTTCTCTAAGGCCAGGCTCACAATATAGGAGATGACAACCCACTCCTGGATTGAGGGCCAGCGGTCCATCCGCACCAGGATGACATAATTAAAAAGCAGGAGATAGCCCAAGTATGAGATCTGAAAGAGAGAGCAGCTGCTAGTTAGTGGTCTTGGGTAATTTCCTAAAATAAAATTTTGAAAACCTATTTTCATGATAACAAATCTTCTGAAATTTTGCTCTATTTCCAACATGACTGATTTCTTGAGAAGCCTTCCACTGAAATCACCTGAACAATAGAAAAGTCTGAAGTAGGTTGGGTGGCATTTTATCATGAGAGCTGTGGTATTCATTTCCCGTGGGAAGATACAAGTATCTTCCTCAGGGGGAAATTAAGCAGCACAAAATTAGGATAAGTAGTGAAACTTTTCAGTAGTTGATTAGAGTATCTTTTATATTCCTGGAAACTGGGAAATGTTATTTCTTCCTTGCTGCCTTGAAAATGTCCTCCTTGAATCTTTCACTACTGATGGCCAGTAAGAGAGTGGAGCTCATGCTGATGAGCTGTCTGACCAGGCACACATGGCTTTCTCATGAGTTCCCTCAGTTAGCACTAATGTGTCTAAGGCTATACTCTGGCAGTGCTTGGAGCCTCATCTTTGTGGTGAGAAAAAAATGGAAGTTCTTGGTGAATAAAGTATGAGATGGAGGTATTGTTTGGGTTTGATTCAGTGTGAAGATTGGCAATGTTTTTGCTTCAGGACACTTCACAGATCCCTTCTCAATCTTGGGGAGACCCTTGCAATTGTGTGTTCATGATTCTGCAACCTTTTTTAAAAAAAAAAAGATTCTCTTTACTCATAAAAAAGATTTCTCTTTACTCACCTACTTAGTCTTTGGTCCAATAAAACATGGACCCATGGCTGAGGTTGATGGTAAGATTTCCACCATCTATTTCTCACAGGAGGATTAGAACTGGAGTCCACGAATTTTGGATTGCATCAGAATTCCCAGGGACACTGTACAAAGTGAAAACTCCCCTCCTCTTTGTGCCAAGATAATGCTTAGAGCTCCTGCATCAGGCCAAGATTGAGTAGCTCCCTGACTCATCCTCTTGTATAACAGCAGTAGCTAAGCTCTCCTGCAGGCTTGTCTCAGGTAGCTTCATGATTAGGTATAGCAGCTAAAAGTTGGATGTTTGGGACCTCCCAGGCCCAGAGTCTGTAAACAGCCCCAAGGTGCCATTCTCAGAGCTTTACCTCTTCCCATTTTCTTGTCCTCTCCCAGGCTTGCCTAATCCATAGATGAGACCAGGCTCCTCACATTCTTTCTCTTTCTTTCACCCAGTCAAATGGAACCCAAGTGCCAAAAACTGTCCAGTGCTGGCGATGTCTTAGTGCTTTGAGATTTCCCAAGAGAAGCCTGGCCCACGAGACAGCCCACCCTCCTCTCAGGCAGCGAGAGCACATTAAACCTTCTTGACCTGTCAAAGACGGAAGTCACTGGACAGGGCAAAGGTTGATGTGAGTTTTCATCTTGATGTGTACTGTAGAACAGAGAAACCTTAATTTGCTGCCTTATACCTAGAAAGCCCTTGATGAGATGGATTGATTCAGTGACTGGAATAAAGATGGGGGTAGGTGTGTTAGAGATGGTGAGATTGGCACAGGGTCGGGCAGAGTTTAGGGCTGTTGTACATAAGTCACAGGCGACTCGACGGCACATAACAACAACAACAACATGCTTAGAATTTACATCCAGGCCCCAATGGTTTAGTGAGAGAAAAAAAAAATTTGTGAGTTTACTCATTAGCACGTTAGTCATCTTTGTTCATTTGAAAATAAGTGTTTTTTCAGTTTTGTATTTCTGAAGATATTTATTTTAAAAATCCTGTAGCCTAGGGAAATATAATTTAACTATTTTACTTTGTTAAGTAATCTGTTTGGCCAGGGTGGCCATATTCATGCATATACTAAAAACATACCATCAAAACCCAAACCTGCTACTGTTGAGTCCTTTCTGAACTCACAGCAACCCTGGAGGACAGAGTGTAACTACTCTTAGGGTTCTTACAAAGGCTTACTTTACAGAGTTTATATGAAAGTGAGTTAGAACTACTGACGTTTTTGGTTAATAGTTAAGCACTTAACTACAATGCCACTAGGGTTCCTATTTTTACATATAGTTGTATGGCAAGATAGCTGATCCAATTTCAGTAAAAACTATCCATCAGTATCAGGATTTGTTTTAATAATTCATAATAAATCAATACATTTTTGTAGACTTTCAAGCCTTTGACACTTTCTAACTTTGAGATAACTAAGTATTTAAAACAACAACCACAAACCCCACACTAATTAGAAAATGCTACTAAGAAAGCATTACTGTATAAAACCAGAACTTGACAATGGGTGCATTGTAGAATTCACAGATCTTTGTTCCAATGGGAATACTTCTTTGCTTCTTGTGCGCATTCTCTTCATCCCCCTTCCTTGAACCAGCATCTGCATTTACACCCTGGAAAACAGAACAAACATATGACAACAGGTGCTAGATGGGAAATACCATGCACTTTGGATTTAACCTTTTGAAGTAAAGAATTAAAATATCCCCCAACTATTAAGATTTTTAAATTCATCATAAGAGAAATCCAAATACTTTAAGAAATGATAATAAGTGACTCCTTTTTTGAGCAGGATTAACACTGACCGTGTTCTCTTCTTCCTTTTCCTTGCCATCTTCATTTTCCTTGGATGTTTGAAATGAGAAGTCATCATAGGTGCGAAATTCCAAAAACAAGATGGTGGGAGGAAGAAGAATCCCTACTATAACCTATTACGAAGAGAAAGAAATAGGCTTGTAAGCAATGAAAATACAATAATATTTTCAGAGTACAGCTAAGTTTTAAGAAATCACCCATAATCTTCAAACAGCAGTCAGTGACCTCAAAACCTACTATGCAGCATGCAAGAGCAATAATTTTGTAAATTATTACCTAACTTGGGAGGGACTAGAGATCATTATGCTGAGTGAACTAACTCAGTACCACAAGGATAAATATTATATAAAACCATTATTATAGAATGAGTATAAGGATCTAAGAGAGATGGGAGAGGGTGGAAGCAGAGGGATGAGGATATG